ACTTCTTATTAATTTACCATCCAGATGTCTTTTTGTTGATATGCACAGCAATGCTTGCACCTTATTATGTTATGTCAATAATCATAGGTCACCACAGTCTTATTCTCCACTTCTTTGGCATGTTTAGAGAAGCTGTTGATGTGTTTACACTTCCTCATTTTAATCTGCACGTCCTCTACCACTTCTGCCTTACAAATACACATTCTCTTTACTCAACATTTGGGCACGATTGCCTTGCAAATTTGAACAGCTGAAGCACTCACTGTGCTACGAAACAAACTTTGCAAGTCCATAAAAACTTAAAAAAAACTTTAAGTCAAACAGCTAGATGAACATCAATCATTGACACAACAGAAGGCGGAAGATATGTAATGGGTGAGCAGGATGAACTCCTATTTAATTGCTTTATAAAACATTCAGGGAATCGACTACGTGCTTGAGTAAAACATGTTCACCCGACTGCATGAGTGCATGTTACATCCTCAGTAATGTTCAACCTTTCCTCACCCATCTCACTGTACTGCTGCACTGTGTCTGAGTCACTTCGTTGACCATTACAAAGACACTGGCCGAGAGCCTAGAACACTCTGTATGGACATGGCTGCTGTCATATTTACCACTGCATTCAACTCAAACTTACTCGTGTGATCGCTAAGACACGAAAATACACTTCCAAGGGTCTCACGTCCTGATCTGTCAGCTTCAACGGTGGCTGAACAATTGCACGTCAACAGCAGGACATGGCTCATTCTTTTGTAGACCGGGCCAAATTATTGTCTACTAACCATGAGTGAGTGTTAGCAAGAAATATGGCAGGAACAGCGTTACAAGAATGTCGGTTTGAATTTCCTTGCCTCTTCTTTTGGGAAGCCAATCGGTTTGTCGTTACGGGAAAATTAAGACTTCAAAAGACAACTTATAAATCAGGCAGCTTATTAGAAAAGTAGGCCCTGAACCACATAGATTCATAAATTATCATTAATCGTAAAACAACATATGAATCTATGCCATGGTGACGTCTTTTTTTATTGTAATGATTTGAACAATTTCATGTTTTTCTACGCCAAATCCCATCTGACAAAAACAGAGCTATTTGTTTAATCTTTAGGTATTACATGGAATTATATTTCCTGCATTTAATATTGATCCACTAAATAAATATACTCTAATTTAAAAAAGTTACAGCAATACCTAACATTTATTTATTTGATAAGTGTATTATTGGTCATCATTATCACTCAGAGCATTCCCTTCCCTTCCACATCTTAGATATCAGGGACACCTCATGAATCCGCAACCAAATTGAGCCATGCTTCATTTCCTGGGTGTCACATATTAGGAATATTTGATCTCAGTCTGTAAATGGGCCACTGCGCTCAGACCGTTCGGTTCATCATCACTGTATCAAATGCCTCTCAAAAAGAATGAGGTCACACTTGACCGGTAGGATATTTTAAGCAGTACTGACTTCACAACATGCAAAATGTTTTTAGCATGTGGGTCTTCATTGGTGTTTGTGCATTAAAAGGTCAGCTTCCTACTGATAGCGAGTGTAAATGGACCACAGGTGAGATATTTCAGTGCCGTGGCATCACATCAGTATCTCCGGTATTACTCTTAACTATTCATTTATAGATAAAAACTAAAGTCTATAGAGGTTTTTAAACAGACATCAAGGATCCCCAGGGTGTACAAAGCACATTGCTGGACTGGATACACCAGGCCAACTAACAGCACAATAGCCTTAGATTAGTCATGAGGATTATCCATGTTACACTCAGCATCCAGCTGACCAGATAAAACTGGAAATGCCTGGATGATTTCATCCATTTAAAATAGCGCCTTCTATACTTTCTGCATCGCCTGTATGTTTTTTTTTTACTAATTTGCTTGTGGCTGATATCTCGGTGAGAGACGGTCTTTCATTTGACTACACGAGTAACTGAACTGAAAGCCAATATGCCGTCAGTATCATTACCAACACTGTGCCCTAATTCCTTTAACCCTTCTCCAGGCCTCCAAACGAAGGTCTACACTGGTTATGTTTGAGACCAGATAAGACTGTTGCCAAGGTTACACTAACGTTATCGTCTACCATGCTAACACATATGGCCATAACTTAGCCAAACACATGCACGTACAAGTGCTCTTGAACGTCCACATCAATCAAGCCTACTGTCCTGAAGTAAAATGTTGCCTGCCTCTTAGCTATACTGCATTCCACTCATCTTTTGCTCTGTCGTCTCGGCCTCAGACTCTCCTGGCTCATTCTACACCTGGCACAGACCTGGTAGTTTTTGTACATCAAGTTCAAGTCATTTAAAGTTTAACCAGTTTGAAGGAAAGCTAGCTGTGGTTGAATTTGTTCAACTTGAGCTGTAAACAGACACTTCTGTGCTTCCTGGTTTCTGCAGAGCTCAGAGACTGTTCCTGGAAAACACATTTTGCCCAAAAGGACTATTTGTTAATTCCCTGAAAGTTTTTGGATTTCACAATATGGATGATGTTTCCGCAACAAAGTCTGATGACAAACTATGGTCTGCAACGGAATTATCTATTTCTCTTCCAGAGACTTTGTAATTACATAAGACCACCAAGTTGGGTTTGGCCTCCTTCATAAACGCCTGACTCAATAGATTAAAGCTATATGTTACACAAAGCAGTGACTGCTGTCTTACTACACTTGTTTAAGCATAAAAGGAATAAAAATAAATAAATAAATACATGGGCAACACAAAAGAGCGGTACATTAACGTCTATATCATTGTGAATATAATGTGACAATAGGACTATTGGTGAGAAAATGTTACCAATAGAAATAACAGACAAAGGTCAATTCCCACCAGCTATTGTGGTCGGAGAAGGTCGGTCACTGAGCTGCACGTCTGAACAAAACTGATACCACGATATCTATAATTATTCTTGAGTAGCATTATGACCTGAACCTCACTGGTAGTTAGCTGACAAAAGTGTCTGGCTAAATAAGCAAACAAAGCATTGCCAAAATGTCCCTTTATGGCTGGTGGTGACCATTTTCCACAAACAACTTTAGGTTTTGATTAATTAATGGCTAATTAGCCTCAGCATGTAGCAGCACAGCGGCAGAGACAGAAAGGCAACACTTAATGGTTAATGTTTTAAAATTGAATATGAAGCTTAAACTGATTGCATGTATGCAACTCTGAAGAGGGAACTTAGCCTCCTGCTTTTGATAAAAAATTAACTTAGCCCCGGCAGGAGGTGTTTTCCGAGAGAAACTGCATTATTATTATTCTTCTACAGGCGCTCTTCTACAGTATATGATGGGCTGTGGTTTTCCTTTTAGCCAGCGCTGAACAATATTTCCGCTGCTATTTTAAACTATCTGGTAGAGTAAAAATACTTTTGGTCCTATAGCCCTTCTCAAAAGGTAAGCTACTCTTGTTTTTCACCTCACTGGTGCTGTCCCTCCACTGTTTTACTGGGTCAGATGAATATGGTAAATTATTCTCATACTGTAAACTCAAAAAGCTAACCCGACTGTGCAGGTGGTTTTAATGGTGTATGGTCGGCTGTGCAGTCATATTGTCTGGATGTACAGACGGGGCATTTTCTACAGGACTGTTGAACATACACTGAGAACAAAAATAAAAGAAAGACTGACGTTGCAGTGTTACTTCTGTTTTCTTATTCGTGTTAGGTACAGTACCTTCTCAAATGTGAAGAGCCAGCCATACAATCTACCACAGATGCTAATGGAGCAAAAAAAACTGGAATGTGGTTTCTTAATAATAGCTTGGTAAAAAAAAAAAAAAAAGGACTTGGTCTCTTAACATCAGAGCTCTACACGAAGGCCTCAAAGAGGAAGAGGAGACACAAAAGAGTGTCTTGTCTTCCTATTCACTCTAATATTGCTGTGTGAATCTCACAGGAAACTGGGGGTCAAACTGCTACAGACTTTTCCGAGAAGTGAAGCCGTGAAATGAGTCTCCCCTGTGAAAGAGCATAATTGGCCTAGTTAAATAGACATTTATTTTCTTTTTCTCTCAGTGCTTTGTTACAGTTTCCATGGGCTGACAGACAGTTGACTGCAGACATTACAGCAGCGATGTGAGGACAGATTGTCTCTCTGCTAGCAGCCTCTTCACCACACTGCCATACATTCGCTACATTCAACTCCTGTGTAGCATATTTTCAAACCCACTGCACCTTATTTGTTAACGCCAATGTTGACGCTACAGCCTGGCATTTAAACGTGGCCAAACAAGCAAGATGTAAGCTACCTTTGTATGGCAACTAGTTAGCAGATGTGCTGAAGAAACCCTGTCTCCGTTTGGTGAGCTAACGTTGATGTTAGGCTGCTTTAAAAGTCTTTTTCTTTTAAAAGTAGTGCCCCGGCACGTACGGTACAAAAACAACACAGTTTAAGTTAGCAAATGAGCTAAGGCTGGCTAACCCTGACTTCTCCCAGCTGACTAGCTAACTGAGCGTTAGCGACTCCAGACCTGCAGCAGGCGAACATTAGCTAGCTCTCCGCTACTTAGCTGCGGTTAGCTCGTCCTAGCGAACGTTAACGGTTGGTTACCGTTGGTTACCGTTGGGCTACCGTTGGGAGTCAACGTACGAACCTTGTCCATCAGTTTCCAGCATTTCTCCACCGTCTTTTTGTCCACGGCCCCGGGCTGGTGATGGGAGTGGAGGTGGTGATGGTGTGGCTGGAAGGCATCCTTCATCATTCCGATGAGCCCCCCGCCTTTCTTCAGGTTCCCTGCCATGTTCGGGCTCGGCTAGGGTCGGCCAGAGCGGCAGACAGGCGAGGCAGGGCAAGGGGGTTCAGGGGAACCGAACCGCCGCCTGGAGTTAACGTTAGCTGGACCGGGCGATGGTGATCCGGCACCCCCGCGAGGCACAGCGCCCGATTGGCGAATCCGAGCCAGGGTCCGACGGGGGTAGGGGGGTAGGGGGGCAGAGGGGAGGGATGACTATCGGATAAAGGCACCCATCAGTAAACCCAACATCAGTTTGTCAGTTAAACGTCTGGCTAAAACAAACCCCCCTCAGTCACTCACAGCTCCGCCGCGGTGTCTCTCTCTCCGCAGGGACCCACGCAGGCTAATTAGCAGAGCACCAGACCTGTCTCTGCCCGCCCTCAGCTGGAGGACAATGGCACCGTGTCTCTGCCCAGAAGCCGTGTGGACTGGAGTGTGTCCTCTCCTCTTGACAACCCCCGACGTCGTTCCCCCTTTTTTTTTTTTTTTTTTCTTGCCTCAGAAGTAGCAGCTCTTTTCGCCCGAGCCGTGTCTTGACGGGAAGTTGAGCGGCTGTGTGACAGTGTCAGCTATCCCTCCTCTGCGGGCTTGTGCGGGCTGACGACGGATACCGAGGAGAGGAAGTTGCGCTCAAAACTGCGAAAGCTTCGCGGACATGAACGTGGGGACGAGGGTGAATAAATAATAAATGTGGGAATTAAACATTGCCCAGTATTTTTTTTTTTTTCTGTTTCCCTCCGTGACGTGTATGTGCGGCCCTTTCCTGTACGCCCCCTTCCGTTCACCCCCCCCACTCCCTTTCTCAAAACCCAAACTCCACGCCTTCCCTGCGCGCGTTCACGAGCCTTGAATGTAGTCGGGTGCGCGCCTCCGTCTGTACAGCATTGATAAAACGTCGGAGTGATGCTGAATGCAGCCTCGGATTCTCGCAGCGCTGTCCTTGGTCACCCCTGACAACAAAGGACGCTTTGACATGTCTCACTAAAAGTAAGGGTCCAATTACAATGCCCCTTGTGTGCGCGGGCTAAAAAAAGACAACGGTGCACCCCCCCCCATCACCAACACAAGTCAAGTTGTGATTGGCTGTTATTAAAGTCAATCAGCTATCAATCAAGTGGGACAGTGAGTGTCATGGCAACTCACTCAGCAACCAGAGCCCAGCAACAAAGACTCATCCCTGTATGTAGTTAGTGTGGTGCTCAGTTTGTGAACAGGCAGCCACACAGCGAGCAAACATGCCTCCAAAGAAAAAGACTAAAAAGACCACAAAGAAGAAGCCTGAAAAAAGTAACTTTTTTTTGTCCTTTTCTGATGCTAAATTGTGCTTTTCTTTCTTCTTTTTTACCAGTTTTATTGTCTTGTTGCAGGTGAAAATGACTTGGAAACAAAGTATAGACGCAGTGTTCTGGATATAGCCATCCTACAGGATCACATCGGTGAGCAGACATTTTAAACTGCTTTATGTAATGTGTGCTTATGTTTAGGACAAACTACCTATGTGTTAGGGGAAACATGATCAATAACACTCATATTAAAGTTTTAAGAGCACAAATCCAAACTCTATTATGCCTTAATACTTGTGGGCTTTGTAATATAAAAATGTACCCTTTTATTAGGGTAAATGATTATTTTCATTATTGATTTATTTGTTGATTAGGTTTTTTTATTAAATTGATGAATCATTTGTTCAATTTAATGTCAGAAAATGGTGAAAAATGTCCAAAACTCTCATTTAGTGACTTTATAAAATCTGTTGATTAACTAATTGATTAACTGACTTATAACACTACAATGCTCAACTGCTATCAACATGCCTTGACACCAATATTTACTCAGTCTAGTGGTGATTCTACATTATATTAGGCCGTATGTTGAGACTCAAGCACATTTCAAAGGGGGAAATGTCATTTTGTACTCTAAATTAATCTTTTTTTAAAAAGTTTTTACATGGAGAACATACCATCAGGTCACGTCACTGTTTAAAGTAGTGCATTAGTTACATTTCTCAAGTTCTACCATTTTTAGGTAGTTTAATGTAAATATCTCCATTTAATGCTACTTTCTACTTCTGTTCCACTTTCAGAGGGTGTTTTGTTTCAGCTATAGTGAATAGTTACTTAACTCATTAAGACTTTATATACAAAACATACAGAATGATCAACAGTAAATGGCTACTTATAAATTAATTGATAATAATCCTGTAATGAAGTCCAGTCTAGTTTGCTGATAATACTTTTATTTGGGTAAGATTTTAACTTGGAATGAAGTGTGTGTATCATTTTTGTGGTTAGTGAAGGATGATCTGAATACTTCACTAACCAGAGGAAGCTAGATGAGCACTGTCTGTAGCACCTATACAGCAGTACACTACAGCTTACATGTTACAGCCTAACTGGATGCTTGATCGTGTTTTATAAGGCGTTAACTTAGTAAAATATTATATAGCAGAACTGTAATTGGAGCATTTTACCGGTTATTGCCACTTCTGCTTAGGGAAAAAACACTCTGCCACTGCTCTGTACGTTAATTCATGCATGTGTTATTGTGTGATTACCACAGCCTTTCAGTGCGAGTCTGTAATAAAGGTCCAGTCTGATAGAGTTGACCTGAGGAGACGCATGAGAGAAACGGAGCAGAAGCTGCACCACGAGAGACAAGACTACAGGGACGTCAACTCTGGTACGGTGCAGACGGGGCATGAATCAACAATTAGTCTCTCTTTTAATAACCTGAGATAAGCGTGGATCCCTTTGGGAGTGAGGACAAGGGGCGTGTTTGCCAAGGTTCGGGTAATTTTTGAGGAACAAAAAGTCTAATTAGCCGGGTGCCTAAGCTGATTGCTGCATTAGCCTTACAAAGTGAATCAGCAATGAAGGCTACGTCTGACATATTTGACACAAATGTCATCCTAGACCTCAGTCGCCAGTACAAAACCATGCAGACAGAGCTGACCAACAGGGGGAAGAGGCTGGAGAAGGAGGTCAGCCAGCTGAAGGAAGAACTTGGTATGAATACACATCATTTTAATGTTCATATTTAAATGAATTAAGACATAGGCGGTCCGTTTCTAAATTAAAAGTGATGGTAAGCCAGTGTGCATTTGTCTTCCCAGTCCTGTGTCAGGAGGAACTGAGGAAAGAGAAAAGAGAGCGTGAACAGGTGGAAGAGGAGAAGGACGCCATCATAGCTGACCTCCAACACAAGCTGGACAACATGGAAACAGACTACGAGAAGATCCTGCATGTGAGTCGCAACAACGAAAGCAGATACAGACTGATTTAAAGAACCTAATGGGCCTCTATAGGTCTGAGGCCCCATGTGCTGTAAACTTGCATGTACAGGTATGTGTTAGGCTAAGCCTGTTAAAGGGCACCACCTTCCTCATCTGTTTTTGTATAGTGACTGAACGTGGTTTGGTATTTCCCTTTTCTGTGCAGTGTTAGTGGCACTTCTCCATAATGGTCAGGTCAAGATGAGCTTGGGTCTCACAGAGCAGTGCGCTGAGCCTGGACATTTTTATATGAGTTATTGTCAGAGTTTTTGTTTGTAGAATAATGAGACAACCCCGGTGAAACATTTTTTTATACTAATCTACATCCCTACATACGGGGGCTTTAAGGGCACAGCAGGTGGTCATCAGGTTTTGCTCTTAAGCTCCTTTAGAAGGCAAAGCCTGTGTTAAATAGAAAGATTACTGTAATGTAACTGGTGCAGCACTGTAATCAGCTTTCCTGCTGCGCCTCCACTACTCCCATGAAGTCGAATCTTCTTTTTTTTTAAACGTAGTGTCGTAGTTTTATCCATTAAATCTGCTGGAAACCACTTTACAAAAGCCTCAAACAGTTTTCAAACAGTCCAGCCCTCGCTCTGCTGTCATAAGCAGGTATTTGGACGCCTAAACAAAGGTGAACATTAAACGTTAGTCCTCCCGTAATTTGTTAGGACTTTAGGGAGTCACAGGACACCAATCTGCAGGTCAGCCTGGATGCACATCACTGTTGTTTCCACTGAGATGTGAGAAGTTATCTGTCTGAACACAAGTGAGAAGTCAGAAAAATCAGAAGTTGTGTAGATCTGCTGTTGGTTTATGGATCTTATTTCCTTCATCCTACTGGTTGTTTCAGGTTTACAATATTCACAATAATGGCGTACAGTTGTGGTTGGGAGGGTTACTTTAAAAACCTAATCTGATTCAATAACTTGTAGTCAGTAACTCAGTAACAGAATCACAATGTTGAATTAATGTAACTTGATTACTTTCCATTACTTTTGGATTACCTTAACATCAAATTTAAAAAAAAATTAAATGTAAACCAAGGTTTTTTACTTTAGAAATGTCTGACTCTCTGCTCAATGTATTTTTTTAAAGAAAAACTTTTCTTGAAGCTAATTCCTGTAGCCTTTGGACCATTTTCACAGCTGGAAGTGCGAATCTTTCTGTGCTGTGATGTTGTTCCTGTTTCTGCTTTAAAGACAAAATAATGGTGAAATTTCCATCCAGTAAAGCATTTTTACAGTGGTGTTGTGAGACGTGTGTATAATGATTGTATATTGTAGTATATTGTTCTCCTAATCCTCCTAAAAATCCCATTTTTTCCTTTTTTTTTTTTTTGCCTCCTGATTATGTAACTTTGTTAGATGTAATCCATTACTCCCAAAGCCTGAGTACAATGTTATGTTAATCTATAGGTGCAGCGTTAAAGCAGAGTCTTGAATGGAGTCACTATTGACCTTTTATAGGCATCAGCCCAGCTGGCTGAGCACAGGCAGCACGTTTTCAGTGTGCAGATCTTCAAAGATAAGTGGTCAAGCCTGGAGCCCTGTCAGAGAGCCCAGCCTGTGATTATAGATCTAAGATTTAAATATGTAATTATCATTATTTCTCCCTTGCCGAGTATGACATAGAATCTAATTATGCCTCTTCTCATCAGCTCGTTCCTGAAACTCATCACAGTTAAAGGTGGTTATGGGGAGGGAGGGATATCAGGTTAGACAACTGGGTGATTTAAAGAGAAAATTTCAGCTTGCATCTCATTTTCACTGATGTTGTCTGCAGGAGACTCTAGACAGCCTGACTGCCCAGCTGTCTGTGGCTCGACAGGGACGGGAGGAGAAGAGCACAACCCTTCATCAGAATTACAAGGAACTGCTGTCTGAATTTGGCCTGAACGCACTGGACATCTAAAAGTCAGGCTCCTCACAAATGAAAGCAGCTGCTCCTCCCAGTGAGACAGATTTGTTCAATGTTGTATCTACAACTTGGTTCAATTTGATCAGACTCTTGCATCCGCGTTTGGTTCAAATGAAAGTGACGTCCACGACAGCATCAATTTGCAGCTCGCGATTTACTATGCTTAATACGCGGATGGATGTTGTTATTATATAATATTTTACCATCAGGGTACAAAATAGGCTGAGTTATCTATGCACGCATTCATCAGTTCACCATGTTCAAGTCTGTAATGTTGTGTAATGCCCACTAGATGTAGCAAATGACTGTTTATGGTCAGGGAGATGGTGGCCAGAATATGTTAGAGAGTTATACTGTTCTGTGTTTATATGTGTAAATATATTTGGTTATATATTATGTCAAATAAAAATATGTGAGGAAGATTACACTAACATGGTATGAAGTGAAAAGATACTGCCTGAGAGTTCTGTACATGAACAACAGTTAACATCATGATTCAATGATAGAAATGTATTTTCTCAGGCAGTGTTTAATGCTGAGTCAGTGGACCAGAGGCCGAATATGGTAACAGGCAAGACAGCGTAAGATGAAAGTAGCCACATGAACCACAGAGACGTAAGAGACGACATTAACGTTACCCCCACTGCTACACTGTAATACTACGAGGCTGCAGTGTTTTCACTTAACCCACAACTGTGACAAAACGCAACTCATAAGACGTGAAAGTAGAGAAAGTAAACAAAAAGTAATGTTCAATATGAGGTAGTCTAACGATAGACAATAACAAGAAAGACACAAAATAACAGTTAATGATGCAGGAAATATGATTTAGCTGCCCAGCATCGATAAAACCCGACTTCCCCTGCGGGGAGCCAGATAAACAGATTTTACTTCCAAGGCTGCCATTTGTGCGCCTTTTTCATGGCCCAGTGCTATTTTTTTAGCCTCTCATCTGCGGGGTAATGAATCATTTACTCTGGGATTAAGATAATTCTGTGCTCTAACGACCAATTAACACAGGAACTCAAGAGGCCTTTATCTGAAAACCAATATTTTCTCCTCAAACCACAAGGAGCTGCTGCCTTCTGAGAGTATGTGTTTCTGTTTGTTTAGGGTTTAATGGGGTTGACTGCCGTCATCCCAATGCTCAAAATGAGATAAGCACAGTGAACCTGTTAGTGGGGGAACACAAAAGCAGTATTCCTTATGGGAATAAAAATACTCTATAGTAGTACTCAGTAGGTAAAAGTACCAACACAGCACTGTCATACTACTCCATTACAAAGGTACAGTCGTATTTCTGATATATAATACTGCATAGATTGTTAGCACACGATATGTAACATTTAACTGTTGTAGCTGATCAAGGGGGAGTTGCTTTGTTTCAGTATTTAAATCCAGTGGTTTACAACCTATGGGTCAGGCCCCTCCGACTTTGGGTCTTTTAAATAAAACCATCTGAGAGGTTTAGCAGTCTCTTTGGTAGAACTGCTAACAATAACAACTTATAGACATCTGAAACTTTACAAGCAGCCCCAACCAGACACTAATGTTTTAGAAGGGGCAACAAGCCAATGATTTAAGCTTTAACAATGCAAGCTCATCATATATTTTATGTGAATTATTAATCTGAAAAGCAACTATAGCTAACAAATAAGTATAGTGATATGGAGTAGACTGTAAAATCACAATATACAGAAGCATGAAATGGTACTTGAGCACACAATACTTGAGTGAATGTGCTTTAAATTCCTTAAGTACACAGCACAAGTGTATAAACATGTTCATCTTTGTTGAACCAGCAGGCAAATAAGAAACAAGAGCTGTTTTGTCCACGGTGAACATGATTAATGAACTGATTCTAATTTGAACCCTGCTAATGTTTGGCTGCTGTCATCGATGCATTTGCTTGAAGATAAATGATGCTCTCTAAAAAAAGTGGAGTCATTATGGAAAGTGACTGATGTGAACTTCAGTCTTTCAAACTTTAATCCAAGATCAACAAAGACTTTTTACCAACATTCAATACAACTGAGTTTTGTTATATTTGTAAAAAAAAAAAAAAAAAACATCTAAAGGACTGGTGGTTTTGTTATGCGTTACCCTACCGGACTGGTTTCCACAATAAAAGCTGCTTTAATATTCCTGATGACTACCTGACGATGAGTCTCTTCCCGGTGCTGCACTTCCTCTAGAATTTGACTTGTTGTTGACTGTTCAGCTTTTGGGTACTGATGACACGAGATGGCCTCCTGCTGATGAATCAAGGATGCGCTCACTGTGATTTCCCATGGAGGCGAGTGCAAGAGAGAGAGAGCTCACATACAAATACACCTACGCATGCACACACACTCACCCACTCGAAACCCACCCACCCACCCAACTAGGTAATCAATGCTTCCGGCTGGGCCATCGATC